AATTCCAACAATTCCATCCAAATGCCACCCAAACACCCCCAAAATTCCAACAATTCCTCCCAAATCCCCCCAAATTCCACCCAAACACCCCCAAAATTCCACCCAAACACCCCCAAAATTCCAACAATTCCACCCAAATTCACTCTAATCCCTCCAAAACCCCCTCCGGATCCCTCAAATCCCCTCAGGACCACCCAAATCCCCTCACAACTCCCCAAATCCCCTCATTTCCCCCAAAATCTCCTCAGGAGCCCCCAGTTTCCCTCATTTCCCCCAAAATCCCCTCAGTACCCCCTAAATTCCTCCAAATTCCCCCCTGTTTCCCACAAAATCCCCTCAGACCAAATTCCCCGTTTTTCCCCAAATTCCCCGTTTCCCCCCAAATTCCCGTTTTTCCCCAAATTCCCGGTTTTCCCCCCTGTTTTTGCCCACCTTGGCGGCGCTGCCGATGTCGGCGGCGTCGGCGATCTGGCGCTGCGAAATCCGGGCCGTGTCCTCGCCCGGCCCCGCCTCCAGGAACCTGCCACAAACCTCAAATTCACCTTTTTTCCCCCCAAAAAATTCCCTTGTTTCCTCACAAAAAAATTCCCTTTTCCCCAAAAGATTCTTTTCCCCAAAATTCCCTTTTTCCGCCTAAAAATTCCCTTTTTTCTCCCAAAAAAGTCCCTTTTTTCTCTCAAAAAATTCCCTTTTTTCCCCCCAAAAAATTCTTTTTCCCCCAAAAAAATCTTTTCTCCCTGAAAATTCACCTTTTTCCCCCAAAAAATTCCTTTTTTCACCCAAAATTTCCCTTTTCCCCCTTAAAAATCCCCTTGTTTCCCCCCCAAAAATTCCCTTGTTTTCCCCCAAAAATTCTTTTCCTCAAAATTTCCTTTTTCCCCCTAAAAATTCCCTTTTTTCCCCCTCAAAAATTCCCTTTTTCTCCCAAGAAATTCCCTTTTTTCTCCCAAAAAATTCCCCTTTTCCCCCCAAAAAATTCTCTTTTATTCCCCCAAAAAGATCCTTCTTCCCCAAAAATTCTCCATTTTTCCCCCCAAAAATTCCTTTTTTCACCCAAAAATTCCCTTTTTCCCCCTTAAAAATTCCCTTGTTTCCCCCCCAAAATTCCCTTTTCCCCCAAAAAAATCCCAATTTTTCCCCCCCCAATTTTCCCCCCAAAAAAATTCCCAGTTTTCCCCCAAAAATTCTTTTCCCCAAAATTCCCCATTTTTCCCCAAAAAATTCCCTCTTTCACCCAAAAACTTGTATTTTTTGCCCCCAAAAAACATCCTTCTTCCCCTAAAAATTCCCTTTTCCCCCCAAAAAATTCCCTTTTTTTCCCCCCCCAAAAATTTCCCTTTCCCCCCCCAAAATTTCCTTTTTTTCTCTCCAAAAAATTCCCTTTTTTCCCCAAAAATTTCTCTTTTCCCCCCAAAAAATTCCCTTTTTTCCCCCAAAAAATTCCCTTTTTTCCTCAAAAAAATTCCCTTTTTTTCCTCAAAAAATTCTCTTTTTCCCCATAAAAAAATTCCCCTTTTCCCCCTTTGGGCCATTCCTGGCAGATTTTGGGGTTTTTTTGGGGGGGATTTTGGGTTTTTGGGGGGATTTTGGGGTTTTCGGACCCCCCAAACTCCCTCATTTCCCTCCAAACCCCCTCGGAACCCCCCACATCTCCTCAGGATTCCCCAAACCCCTTCAGGGACGCCCTTAATTCCCTCAGGATCCCCCAAATCCCCTTATTTCTCAAAAAAATCCACTCAGAATCCCCCGAATCCCCTCAGGACCCCCCAGTTCCCCTCATTTCTCCCCCAAATCCCTTCAGGAGCCCCCAGATCGCCTCAGGGCCCCCCGAATCCCCTCAGGACCCCCCAAATTCACTCATTTTCCCCCAAAAATCCCCTCAGGAACCCCAAACTCCCCTCAGGAACCCCAAAATCCCCTCATTTCCCCAAAAAAATCCACTCAGAAACCTCCGAATCCCCTCACCTCCCCCCAAATCCCCTCATTTCCCCCAAATCCCCTCATTTCACCCCAAATTCCCTCAGGACCGCCAAAATCTCCTCATTTTCCCCCAAACCCCCTCATTTTCCCTTTACCGCTTTCTGCTCGGCGCCCCGCAGGAACCGCTTCACTCTGGCCCGCGGCACCGGCGCCGGCCCGGGGAACGGGTCCGTCCTCTGCGGGAGCAGCAGCAGTGAGGCCGGGACACCCCAAAACCCCCCCGGGACCCCCAAAATCCGCCCCGGGACCCCCAAACTTGGGGGATTTCTCCCCCCGTCCCCTCACTCACCCCGGACACGCCGCCCGCCATCGCCACCATGTGGAGAAACCACTCCCACTTCCCGGCTCGGAGCCAATCAGGTTGAAGCGCGGGCAAAGCGTGGCCAATCAGAGCGAAGCGGCGCGGGAAGGGGTTGAGGGCGCAGGCGCCATCTTGGTATAGGGCAAGACGTGTATTGACTAAAACGATAAGGTCGCCATCTTTGTTATGGGCGACGCCATCTTGTGTGAGGGCAAATCTTCGTACGGCACTTCCGGGTCTCTTTTCCTAAATTCCCCCAAATTCCACCCAAATTCCACCCAAATTTCTTCCAGGAATCCCCAAATTCCCCCCTTTCTCCCCCAAGACGCCATTCCCCTTCCCAAAATTCTCATTTTCACTCTCAAATGAATTTTTAGTCCCAAAATATCCACATCTATTCCCCCAAAATGCGCTTTTTTTTCCCCTCCAAAAAATCTGGTTTTATTCCCCAAATTTTTGTTTATTCCCTAAATTTCCGCTTTCATTCCCCCAAAATTGGGCTTTCTTCCCCACAAATCCACTCCCACCCCCAAAATCCCTTTCCATTCCCAAAAAAACACTTCTCATTTTCAAAATCCGCTCAAGTTCCAAAAAATCCATTTGAAATTCCCCAGAATCCATTTTTAATTAAAAAAAAAAAATCACTTTTATTAATGGAATTTTGCATCTGGCCCCAAAACTCACAAAATACCTCATTTTTTCCCAATTTTCCTATTTTTTTCCTGTTTTTTTCCCCTCATTTTTCGCCTCTTTTTCCCCCCAGCTTTTCCCTCATATTTTTCCTATTTTTTTCCTTTTTTCCCCCATTTTTTACAGGTTTTCCCCCCATTATTCCCTCTTTTTTCCCCCCAGTTTTTCATTCATATTTTCCCTTTTTCCCCTCATTTTCCCCCAGATTTTCTCTTTTTTTTTTTTTCCCCAGTTTTTCCATATTTTCCCCCACTTTTTCCCTGTTTCCCCCCTTTTTTCCTGGTTTTCCCTCTTTTTCTCCCTCTTTTTTCCCCATTTCCCCCTCCCTTTTTTTTTCTATTTTTCCCGTAGATTTTCCCTCTTTTTTTCCCAGTTTTTTCCTCATTTTCGCCTATTTTTTCCCTATCCCCCCCACCCATTTTATAATAAAATTAAAATAAATGAAAAATAAAAATCTGGTTTTCCCCCAGATTTTCTCTTTTTTTTTCCAGTTTCCCCCCCTTTTTCCCTCTCATTTTTTCCTCTTTTCCCCCCTCATTTTTTCCCCGTTTCCCTCTCCTTTTTCCCCTTTTTTTCTCTTTTTTTTTCCAGTTTCCCCCCCTTTTTCCCTCTCATTTTTTCCTCTTTTCCCCCCTCATTTTTTCCCAGTTTCCCTCTCATTTTTCCCATTTTTTTCTCTTTTTTCCCCTCATTTTCCCCCATTTTTCCTATTTTCCCCCAGATTTCCCTACTTTTTGCCTGATTTTCCCTTTTTTTCTCATTTTTTCCTCTCACTTTTTCCATTTCCCTCTCATTTTTCTCCGTTTTTTCCCACATTTCCCCCCAAAAAATCCATTCACTCCAAAAACTTTTTATTCCCACAATTCCTCTTTTCCCCCTCATTTTTTCCCATTTTTCCTATTTGCCCCCCAGATTTTCCCTTTTTTCCTCATTTTTCCCCTCATTTTTCCTTGTGTCCCTCTCATTTTTTTCCATTTTTCCCTCTTTTTTTCCCCTCATTTTTCCCCTTTTTCCCGGTTTTCCCTTTTTTTCTCATTTTCCCCCTCACTTTTTCCTTGTTTCCCCTCATTTTTTCCCATTTCTCCCCAAAAAATCCACTCATTCACTCCAAAAATCTCCTTTTTTATTCCCAGAATTCCCCAAATTCCTCTTTTTCCCTCATTTTTCCCCTTTTTTTTTCCTATTTTTCCCCCAGATTTTCCCTTTTTTCCCTCTCATTTTTTTGTCTTTTTTTCCCCTCACTTTTTCCTTGTTTCCCTCTCATTTTTCTCCATTTCCCCCTCATTTTTCCCCATTTTTCCTCTCCTTTTTTCCTCTTTTTTCCCAGTTTTCCCCATTTTCCCCCAAAAACTCCACTCCTTCACTCCAAAACCCTCCTCTTTCATTCCCAGAATTCCCAAATTGCCCAAAATTCCTCTTTTCCCCCTCATTTTTCCCTTGTTTCCATGAATTTCCCCGTTTTTCTCCAGTTTTTTCCCTTTTTTCCCATTTTTTCCTTGTTTCCCTCCCATTTTTCTCCTTTTCCCCTCATTTTTCCCCAAAAACTCCACTCATCCACCCCAAAAATCTCTTTATTCCCAGAATTCCCCAATTCCCTTTTCCCCCTTCATGTTTTCCTTGTTTCCCCTTTTTTTTCCCCTTCATTTTTGCCCATTTTCCCCTTGTTTCCCTCTCATTTTCCCCCATTTCCCCCCCAAAACTCCACTCATTCACTCCCAAAAGCTCATCTTTTACTCCCGCAATTCCCAAATTGCCCAAAATTCTTTTCCCCCTCATTTTTCCTTGTTTCCTCCTTTTTTCCCCACTTTTTCCTCTCATTTTTCCCAATTTTCCCTTCATTTTCCCCATTTTTTCCTTGCTTCTCCCTCACTTTTCCCAGTTTTTTCCCATTTTCCCCTTGTTTCCCTCTCATTTTTACTCCTTTTTTCCCATTTTTCCCCCCATTTTTCCCCAAAAACTCCACTCCTTCACTCCAAAAATCTCTTTTATTCCGCAACTCCCGAATTGCCCAAAACCCCCGTTTTTCTCCTCATTTTTTCTTGGAGACGCCCACGGTCCTGCCGCGCCGCCCGGTGGTCTTGGTGTGCTGCCCGCGCACCCTCAGCCTGGGGGGGGCAGAAAAACCCAAAACCCCCGGGTTTAGCCCCAAAACTGCGGGTTTAGCCCCAAAACCCCCGGGTTCAACCCCAAAATCCCCGGGTTTAGCCCCAAAATCCCCGGGTTTAACCCCAAACTCCCCGGGTTTAGCCCCAAAACCGTGGGTTTAGCCCCAAAACTGCGGGTTTAACCCCAAAACCCCCGGGTTTAACCCCAAAACCCCCGGGTTTAGCCCCAAAACCGCGGAAAAACCCCGAAAACGGCATCTGAATGGCACCAAAAATGGCTGAAATACCAAAAATATACCCCAAAATATCCCCAAATGCCCCCAAAGCCAGCCCAAAACGTCCTAAAAGTGTCCCCAAGCCTCCCAGGGAATGTCCCCAAAGTGTCCCCAACCCCACAGGGACAGGGAGCCCAATATTGGGGGGAAAACCCCAAAAACTGCAACGAATCGGCACCAAAAATGGCTGAAATAGAACAAAAATACACCGAAATGTCCCCCAAAACCAACGCAAAACCAGACAAAAATGTCCTAAAAGTGTCCCCAAAATGTCCCCAACCCCGCGGGGACAGAGAACCAAAAATTGGGGGAAAAAACCCCAAAAACTGCACCTGAATGGCACCAAAAATGGCTGAAATAGCAAAAAAATAACTCAAAATGGACCAAAAACCAACCCAAAACCAGCACAGAATGCCCTAAAAGTGTCCCCAAAGCCACCAAAAATGTCCCTAAAGTGTCCCCAACCCCATGGGCTCAGAAAAATCCCAAAATTAGGGTGAAAAGGCCCAAAACTGCACACGAATTGCAACAAAAATGGCTCAAATAGCAAAAAAATACCTCAAAATGGACCAAAAACCAGCCCAAAACCAGCGAAAAATGCCTTAAAAATGTCCCCAAGCCTCCCAAAAAATGTCCCCAACCCCACAGGGACAAGGAACCAAAAACTGGGGGGAAAACACCAAAAACTGCAACTGAATGGCACCAAAAATGGCTGAAATGGAACTAAAATACCTCAAAATGCCGCAAAAACCAGAACAAAATATCCTAAAAAGTGTCCCTAAGGTCACCAAAAAATGTCCCCAAATGTCCCTGTCCCCCTGCGGGGACAGGGAACCAAAAATTGGGGGGAAAACCCCGAAAAACAGCACCTGAATGGCACCAAAAATGGCTGAAATAGCACTAAAATACCTCAAAATATCCCAAAATCACCCAAAACCAGCCAAAAATGTCCTAAAAGCGTCCCCAAACACGTCCCCAAACATGTCCCCAAAGTGGCCCCAACCCCACGGGGACAGGGAACCAAAAACTGGGGGGAAAACCCTGAAAATTGCAACTGAATTGCAGCAAAAATGGCTGAAATAGAACTAAACCAAATCCAAAATCCCCTCAAACCACCCCAAAACCACCCCAAACCCCCTGGGATTGTCCCCAAGGTGTCCCCAAGGTGTCCCCAGGTGCCACCTCGTCCTCGGTGAGCTCCCCGGCGCGCTTGGTCAGGTCGATGTTGGCCCCAAACCCCCTGGGATTGTCCACAAACCACCTCAAAACCCCTTAAAACCACTCCAAACCCCCAGGATGTCCCCGAGGTGTCCCCAAGGTGTCCCCAGGGTGTCCCCAGGTGTCCCCAGGTGCCACCTCGTCCTCGGTGAGCTCCCCAGCACGTTTGGTCAGGTCGATGTTGGCCCCAAACCCCCTGGGATTGTCCACAAACCACCTCAAAACCCCTTAAAACCACTCCAAACCCCCAGGATGTCCCCGAGGTGTCCCCAAGGTGTCCCCAGGTGTCCCCAGGTGTCCCCAGGTGCCACCTCGTCCTCGGTGAGCTCCCCGGCGCGCTTGGTCAGGTCGATGTCGGCCCCAAACCCGCCCAAATCCTCCTCAGACCACCCCAAACACCCTGGGATTGTCCCCAGGATGTCCCCAGGATGTCCCCAGGATGTCCCCAGGATGTCCCCAGGATGTCCCCAGGATGTCCCCAGGATGTCCCCAGGATGTCCCCAGGATGTCCCCAGGATGTCCCCAGGATGTCCCCAGGATGTCCCCAGGATGTCCCCAGGATGTCCCCAGGATGTCCCCAGGATGTCCCCAGGATGTCCCCAGGATGTCCCCAGGATGTCCCCAGGATGTCCCCAGGATGTCCCCAGGATGTCCCCAGGATGTCCCCAGGATGTCCCCAGGATGTCCCCAGGATGTCCCCAGGATGTCCCCAAGGTGTCCCCAGGTGCCACCTCGTCCTCGGTGAGCTCCCCAGCACGTTTGGTCAGGTCGATGTTGGCCCCAAACCCCCTGGGATTGTCCACAAACCACCTCAAAACCCCTTAAAACCACCCCAAACTCCCAGGATGTCCCCAGAATGTCCCCAAGGTGTCCCCAAGGTGTCCCCAGGTGCCACCTCGTCCTCGGTGAGCTCCCCGGCGCGCTTGGTCAGGTCGATGTCGGCCTTGCGCAGCACCACGTGCGCGTAGCGCCGCCCCACGCCCTGTGGGACAAACGGGGACAACACGGTGACAAACAGGTGACAACAGGGTGGCAGCAGGGTGGCAGCGGGGTGGCAGCTCCCCCAGGCCACCACGGTGTCCCCAAACCCCTCAGAGTCCCCAGCCCCCAACCAAACTGTCCCCAAGGTGTCCTTGATGTCCCCAAACCTCCTCAGTGTCCCCAAACTCCATCAAAATGTCCTTGATGTCCCCAAACCTCCTCAAAGTGTCCCTAAACCCCATCAGTGTCCCCAAACCACCTCAGACTGTCCCCAAGGTGCTCCCAAACCACATCAACGTGTCCCCACCTCCCTGGCAGTGTCCCCATGGTGTCACCACGCCCTGGCAGTGTCCCCAGCTGTCTCCCCTCAGTGTCCCCACTCCCCTGTTGGTGTCCCCAGGTGTCCCTGTGGTGTCCCCAGCAGTGTCCCCAGCCCCTGTTGGTGTCCCCAATGTCCCCAGGTGTCCCCAAAATGTCCTTGACGTCCCCAAACCTCCTCAGTGTCCCCAAACTCCATCAAAGTGTCCCCAAAATGTCCTTGATGTCCCCGAACCTCCTCAGTGTCCCCAAACTCCATCAAAATGTCCTTGATGTCCCCAAACCTCCTCAAAGTGTCCCTAAACCCCATCAGTGTCCCCAAACCACCTCAGACTGTCCCCAAGGTGCTCCCAAACCACATCAACGTGTCCCCACCTCCCTGGCAGTGTCCCCATGGTGTCACCACGCCCTGGCAGTGTCCCAAGCTGTCTCCCCTCAGTGTCCCCACTCCCCTGTTGGTGTCCCCAGGTGTCCCTGTGGTGTCCCCAGCAGTGTCCCCAGCCCCTGTTGGTGTCCCCAATGTCCCCAGATGTCCCAGCGGTGTCCCCAGCAGTGTCCCCGCAGTGTCCCCATCCCCTGGCAGTGTCTCCACGCCCTGTTGGTGTCCCTGCAGTGTCCCCACCCCCCTGTTGGTGTCCCCACCCGCTCCCCCAGGCCACCACGGTGTCCCCAAACCCCTCAGAGTCCCCAGCCCCCAACCAAACTGTCCCCAAGGTGTCCTTGATGTCCCCAAACCTCCTCAGTGTCCCCAAACTCCATCAAAGTGTCCCCAAAATGTCCTTGACGTCCCCAAACCTCCTCAGTGTCCCCAAACTCCATCAAAGTGTCCCCAAAATGTCCTTGATGTCCCCGAACCTCCTCAGTGTCCCCAAACTCCATCAAAATGTCCTTGATGTCCCCAAACCTCCTCAAAGTGTCCCTAAACCCCATCAGTGTCCCCAAACCACCTCAGACTGTCCCCAAGGTGCTCCCAAACCACATCAACGTGTCCCCACCTCCCTGGCAGTGTCCCCATGGTGTCACCACGCCCTGGCAGTGTCCCAAGCTGTCTCCCCTCAGTGTCCCCACTCCCCTGTTGGTGTCCCCAGGTGTCCCTGTGGTGTCCCCAGCAGTGTCCCCAGCCCCTGTTGGTGTCCCCAATGTCCCCAGATGTCCCAGCAGTGTCCCCAGTGTCCCCAGCAGTGTCCCCGCAGTGTCCCCATCCCCTGGCAGTGTCTCCACGCCCTGTTGGTGCCCCAGCAGTGTCCCCACCCCCCTGTTGGTGTCCCCAGTGTCCCCAGCAGTGTCCCCAGCAGTGTCCCCACCGTGTCCCCACCCCACAGTGTCCCCAGTGTCCCCAGCAGTGTCCCCAGCAGTGTCCCCACCGTGTCCCCACCCCACAGTGTCCCCAATGTCCCCAGCAGTGTCCCCACCCCCCTGTTGGTGTCCCCAGTGTCCCCGCGGTGTCACCTTGATGGCGGTGATGGCGAAGGCGATCTTGCGGCGCCCGTCGATGTTGGTGTTGAGCACCCGCAGAATGTGCTGGAACTTCTCGGGGATCACCAGGGACTGCGGGACACAGAGGGGACATTGGGGACACTGAGGGGACACTGGGGACACTGAGGGGACACTGGGGACAGCAGGGGCATTGGGGACTTCTCAGGGATCACCAGGGACTGCGGGACAGAGAGGGCACACTGAGGGGACATTGGGGGCACTGAGGGGACACTGGGGACACTGAGGGGACACTGGGGACAGCAGGGGCATTGGGGACTTCTCAGGGATCACCAGGGACTGCGGGACAGAGAGGGCACACTGAGGGGACATTGGGGGCACTGAGGGGACACTGGGGACACTGAGGGGACACTGGGGACAGCAGGGGCATTGGGGACTTCTCAGGGATCACCAGGGACTGCGGGACAGAGAGGGCACACTGAGGGGACATTGGGGGCACTGAGGGGACACTGGGGACACTGAGGGGACACTGGGGACAGCAGGGGCATTGGGGACTTCTCAGGGATCACCAGGGACTGCGGGACAGAGAGGGCACACTGAGGGGACATTGGGGGCACTGAGGGGACACTGGGGACACTGAGGGGACACTGGGGATCACCAGGGACTGAGGGGACAGAGAGGGGACAATGAGGAGACACTTGAGGGGACAGCAGGGACATTGGGGACACTGAGGGGACAGCAGGGACGCTGAGGGGACACTGAGAGAGCAGTGGGAACTTCTCGGGGATCACCACGGACTGAGGGGACACTGAGGGGACACTGGAGGCACTGAGGGGACACTGGGGACACTGAGGTGACAGCAGGGACACTGAGAGGATAGTGGGGACACTGAGGTGACAGCAGGGACACTGAGGGGACACTGGGGACAGCAGGGACACTGGGAACTTCTCGGGGATCACCAGGGACTGATGGGACAGTGAGGGGACATTGGGGACACTGAGGGGACAGCGGGGACACTGAGGATGTTGGGGACATTGAGGGGACACTGAGGGGACACTGGGGACAGCAGGGACACTGAGGACACAGGGGACATTGAGGGGACACTGAGAATTTCTCAGGGATCACCAGCGACTGAGGGGACACTGAGGGGACAGCAGGGACACTGGGGACACTGAGGGGACATTGGGAACTTCTCAGGGATCACCAAGGACTGTGGGGACATTTGGGGACACTGAGGGGACATTGGGGACACTGGGGACATTGGGAACTTCTCGGGGATCACCAGGGACTGAGGGGACATTTGGGGACACTGGGGACAGCGCCGGGAGGGTTTTTGGGGGGGTTGAGGAAAATTCCAGACGGATTTGGGGCGATTTTAGGGGGTTGGGGACACCGGGATGGGCTCGGGGACACTTTGGGGACAGTTGTGGGTAATTGGGGACAGTTTTAGGGGACTGGGGACAGTTTTAGGGGATTCGGGACATTTTTAGGGTGGTTTGTGGCGATCCTGGGCGCGGCTCGGGGCATTTTAGCGACACTTTGGGACATTTCGGGGCCGCTCCGGGACGAGCCCGCCGTGAGGGGAGCGAAGGCCGCCATGACACCTGAGGGGGGGGGCTCGGACATCCGCGCCCCTGCCGCCGCCATCGCCGCTCGCCGCCGCCCCCTCCCCGCCCCGCCGCCTCCCTCGGTGCCGCCGCCATCGCCCCGCGCCCTCCCCGCCGCCCGCCGCCCTCCCCGCGCGCCGATGGCGGCGGATCCCGCCGGGAGCTCACCATGGCTGCGGCTCCGCGGGGCGCTGCCGGGGGAAGAAGGAGGCGGAAGTGACGTCACGCGCCGTGCGTCGGCAAGATGGCGGCGCAGGCGGAGGTAGCGCCGGCGGCGGGAGAGGTTTGGGGGATCCCGGGGCGGTTTTGGGGTTATTTTGGGGTTTTTTGGGGTTTTTTGTGGGGATCCGGGAGGGTTCTGGGATGGCGGAGGGGGCGCGGCCGTTACTGAGGCGGTTGTGCCGCAGGTGGCGGCGATGGAGGCGCCGCTGGAGGCGGAGCTGGAGGCGGAGCTGGACCTGGAGGGGGCGGAGCTGGAGGAAGTGGATGGTGAGAGGGGCGGGGCCATTAAATGGGAGGGTTAATTAACGCTTAATGAGGGGGCGGGGCCTGACAGGTGACAGGCGAGAGGGGTGGGGCCTGCAGGTAAAGTGGGCGTGGTCAAATGACAGGGAGGCCGCAAAGGGGGCGTGGCTTTTGCCTTATTTGTGTGAGGGCAGTCTGATGGGGGCGTGGCCATGCCCTTATATGGATGCGTCTGTCACGCTGAGGGCTCATTGCCGGTAACGGAGGGGGCGTGGCCTGTGGGAGGAGGCGTGGCTTGGCCGGACTGAACCATTTGGGCAGAACTGAGGGGGGGGATACTTCCCAATTCCGCCCCTTTTTCCCCATTTTTTTCCTGATTTTTTCCCAATTTTTTCCATTTTTCCAATTTTTTTCCCCATTTTTCCCATTTTTCCCTCAATTTTTCCCATTTTCCCCCCGTTTTTCCCAGTGCACATCCAGGAGAACCTGGAGGACGCCCTGGTGCAGGAGGCGCTGCAGACCGTGAGTGGCTCCTCCCCAAAATCACCCCAAAAATCCCCAAAATGGCCCCAAAATGTCCCCAGGTGTCACCAAAGTGTCCCCAGGTGTCATAAAACGGTGCCAGATGCCACTAAAATGGCACCAGAGTGGCCTCAAATGTTTCCAGATGTCCCCTAGTGTCACTGAAATGGCCCCAAATTGTCCCAAAATGGCCCAAAAATGTCCCAAAATGTCCCCAGGTGTCCCCAGCGTGTCACCAAATGGCCCCAAAACTCCCCAAAATGGCCCCAAATGTCACTGAAATGGCCCCAAAGTGTCCCCAGATGGCCCCAAAGTGTCCCCAATGTCCCCAAGATGTCCCAAAGTATCCCAAAATGGCCCCAAAACGGCCCCAAAACTCCCCAAGATGTCCCCAAAATGGCCCCAAATGTCACTAAAATGTCGCCAAATTGTCCCCAAGTGTCCCCAAAGTGTCCTCAAAGTGTCCCCAAGTGTCCCCAATGTCTCCAAATGCCACAAAATGTCTCAAAACAGCCCCAAAACTCCCCAAAATGGCCCCAAAACTCCCCAAAATTGCCCCAAAATGGCCCCAAAGGTCACTGAAATGTCCCCAAAGTGTCCCCAAGTGTCCCCAATGTCTGCAAATGCCACAAAATGTCTCAAAACAGCCCCAAAACTCCCCAAAACGGCCCCAAAACTCCCCAAAATTGCCCCAAAATGGCCCCAAATGTCACTGAAATGTCCCCAAATTTTCCCAAAATGTCCCCAAATGTCCCCAAAGTGTCCACAAGTGTCCCCAAACTGTCCCAAAACTCCCCAAAATGGCCCCAAAACTCCCCAAAATGGCCCCAAATGTCACTGAAATGGCCCCAAAGTGTCCCCAGATGGCCCCAAAGTGTCCCCAATGTCCCCAAGATGTCCCAAAGTATCCCAAAATGGCCCCAAAACGGCCCCAAAACTCCCCAAGATGTCCCCAAAATGGCCCCAAATGTCACTAAAATGTCGCCAAATTGTCCCCAAGTGTCCCCAAAGTGTCCCCAAGTGTCCCCAATGTCTGCAAATGCCACAAAATGTCTCAAAACAGCCCCAAAACTCCCCAAAACGGCCCCAAAACTCCCCAAAATTGCCCCAAAATGGCCCCAAATGTCACTGAAATGTCCCCAAAGTGTCCCCAGATGTCCCCCAGTGCCCCAAATTTTCCCAAAATGTCCCCAGAGTGTCCCCAATGTCCCCAAGGTGTCCCAAAATACCCCAAAACAGCCCCAAAACTCCCCCAAATGGCCCCAAAACTCCCCAAATTTTCCCAAAATGTCCCCAAATGTCCCCAAAGTGTCCACAAGTGTCCCCAAACTGTCCCAAAACTCCCCAAAATGGCCCCAAAACTCCCCAAAATGGCCCCAAAACTCCCCAAAATGGCCCCAAAACTCCCCAAAATGGCCCCAAAACTCCCCAAAATGGCCCCAAATGTCACTGAAATGTCCCCAAATTTTCCCAAAATGTCCCCAAATGTCCCCAAAGTGTCCCCAATGTCCCCAAGGTGCCCCAAAATGTCCCAAAACGGCCCCAAAACTCCCCAAAATGGCCCCAAATGTCACTGAAATGTCCCCAGGTGTCCCCAAGTGTCCCCAACATGTCCCTAAAGTGTCCCCAAGTGTTCCAAATGGCCCCAAATGGCCCCAAAACATCCCCAAAACTCCCCAAAACGGCCCCAAAACTCCCCAAAATGGCCCCAAACGTCACTGAAATGTCCCCAAAGTGTCCCCAAGGTGTCCCCAGGTGTCCCCAAGGTGTCCCCAAGGTGTCCCCAGTGTCCCCAAGGTGTCCCCAGTGTCCCCAAGGTGTCCCCAGTGTCCCTTGACCCCGCAGACATCCGGGAGAGCGAGAACATCGCCGAGCTGCACAACCAGATCAGCGCCTGCGACGCCATCCTCGAGGTGAGCGCGCCCCAGTGTCCCCAAGTGTCCCCAAGGGTCCCCAAGTGTCCCCAAAGTGTCCCCAGGTGCCACCAGGTGTCCCCAAAGTGTCCCCAGGTGCCACCAGGTGTCCCCAAAGTGGCGCCCCAGTGTCCCCAAAGTGTCCCCAAATGTCCCCAAAGTGTCCCCAGGTTCCCCAAGGTGTCCCCAAAGTGTCCCCAGGTGTCCCCAAAGTGGCTCCAGGTGGCACCAAATGGCCCCAAAATGACACAAAATGGCTCCAAATGTAACTAAAATGGCCCCAAATGGCCCCAAAATGGCACCAGAGTGGCCTCAAGTGCCACCAGGTGTCACCAAAGTGTCCCCAAGTGTCCCCAAGTGGCTCCAGGTGGCACCAAGTGGCACAAAAATGGCCTTAAATGGTTCCAAAATGGCCCCAAATGGCCCCAAAATGGCACCAGAGTGGCCTCAAGTGTCCCCAGGTGACACCAAATTGTCCCCAAGTGCCACCAGATGTTCCCAAATGTCACCAGGTGACCCCAGGGGTCCTCAAAGTGTCCCCAAGTGGCACAAAAATGGCCCCAAATGGCCCCAAATGGTCTCAAAATGGCACCAGGTGTGCCCAAGGTGTCCCCAGGTGCCACCAGGTGTCCCCAGGTGTCCCCAAAGTGGCACCAAGTGGCACAAAAATGGCCCCAAATGGCCCCAAATGGTCTATGGCCCTAAACGGCCCCCAACCGGCACCAAAGTGTCCCCAAGTGTCCCCAGGTGTCCCCAAAGTGGCACCAAGTGGCACAAAAATGGCCTCAAATGGCCCCAAAATGGCCCCAAATGGCCCCAAAATGGCACCAGAGTGGCCTCAAGTGTCCCCAGGTGCCACCAAATTGTCCCCAAGTGCCACCAGATGTTCCCAAATGTCACCAGGTGACCCCAGGGGTCCTCAAAGTGTCCCCAAGTGGCACAAAAATGGCCCCAAATGGCCCCAAATGGTCTCAAAATGGCACCAGGTGTCCCCAAAGTGTCCCCAGGTGTCCCCAAAGTGGCTCCAGGTGGCACCAAATGGCCCCAAAATGACACAAAATGGCTCCAAATGTAACTAAAATGGCCCCAAATGGCCCCAAAATGGCACCAGAGTGGCCTCAAGTGCCACCAGGTGTCACCAAAGTGTCCCCAAGTGTCCCCAAGTGGCTCCAGGTGGCACCAAGTGGCACAAAAATGGCCTTAAATGGTTCCAAAATGGCCCCAAATGGCCCCAAAATGGCACCAGAGTGGCCTCAAGTGTCCCCAGGTGTCCCCAAAGTGTCCCCAAGTGCCACCAGATGTTCCCAAATGTCACCAGGTGACCCCAGGGGTCCTCAAAGTGTCCCCAAGTGGCACAAAAATGGCCCCAAATGGCCCCAAATGGTCTCAAAATGGCACCAGGTGTGCCCAAGGTGTCCCCAGGTGCCACCAGGTGTCCCCAGGTGTCCCCAAAGTGGCACCAAGTGGCACAAAAATGGCCTCAAATGGCCCCAAAATGGCCCCAGATGGTCCCAAAATGGCACCGAAGTGTCCCCAAGTGTTCCAGATGCCCCCAAACCCCCAAAAAAGCCACAACATCCCAAAAAATGGTAAAAAATCCCCAAAAACTGCTAAAAAATCCCATAAAAAGGCCGTAAAATTGCCAAAAATTGTCCTAAAATCGCCAAAAAAGCCCTAAAACCCCGGGATAAAAACCCCAAATTGTCCCCAAATGTCCCTGAGTGTCCCCAAATTGTCCCCAGCGCATGGAGGAGATGCTGGGCTCGTTCCAGAGCTCGCTGAGCTCGCTGAGCTGGGAGATCCGGGCGCTGCAGGGCCAGGCCGGGGCCATGAACCTGCGGCTGCGCAACCGCCGCCAGGTCCGGGAGCGCCTCGGGGGGCTGCTGGACGAGCTCGTCGTGCCCCCCGACATGATCAGGTGGGGAAAAAGGGCATTTTGGGGGAAAAACCTTAAAAAAATGGGGTTTGGGGGTGAAAAAATGGCATTTTCCGGTGAAAATTGCAAAAAAAATGGGATTTCGGGACCAAAAAATGGGGTTTTAGACCCCAAAAAAATGGGATTTTAGACCCCAAAAAATGGGATTTTAGAGACCAAAAATGTGGGATTTAGGGAGAGAATTCCCCCCAAAAATGGGATTTCACGGTGAAAATTCCCGAAAAAATGGGATTTCGGGACCAAAAAATGGGATTTTAGGGAGTGAGAACTTTGGTTTCAGGGACATGAACCTAAAAAAAATGGGACTTAAGGACTAAAAATGGGATTTTGGGAGATAAGTCCCCAAAACATGGGGTTTGGGGTGAAAAGTCCCAAAAAATGGGATTTCGGGACCAACAAATGGGGATTTAGAGACCAAAAATGGGGTTTTAGACC